CCTTGAGTATAAAGTTTGTGACTCATTCAATCCTGTGGAAATGGCAGTACAACTCTGTGGGTAGTGGCTTGGACTCTGGAGTAAGGCAACTGGGACGCCCTGGTGGAGCAGTGGTCAGGAATCCACCTTGGGTTCAAAGCCTACGTCAGGAAGATCCCCTGGAGAAGGAAATGGCAACACACTCCACTATTCTTGCCTGGGAAATCCCATGGACAGAGGAGCCTGGCAGGCTACAGTCCATGGGGTCGCAAGAGTCGGACACAAATTAGGGACTAAACGACCACCACCATCACAACTTTTGAAAGAATGACATAGCCCAAGGACACAACATAAACTGATTAGATTCAAATGGGACCAAGATGGCAGACAAGACTAGACCTCAGTCCTCAATCAACAAGTGAAATGACACACCCAGAGATGCCCTGACAGTTCCAGGCACTGTTAAAAGACCAAGGAGTGGGCGGTGGCCCAAATCCTGGAAATCTTCACCCCTTCCCCAAAATAGTCGGAACAATCCTCCAACTCATTAGTATATGAAATTACCCAGACTATAAAAACTAACCACACCAAATTTCACAGTGCATTCACCCGCTGTGATGGCCCACACTCTGTCTGTGCAGAATGGTGTTTGGCAAAGAGCCAGAGTTCTCATTTTATACTAGCTACTCTCATGCTTTTTTCCCCTAAAGATAACTGTTCTTTGGTGTGAGAATCTTAGGAATAAATGTTAATAATTCCTTGAGAAATAAAAAGACGAGGAAGCGACATATACGCACAAAAGCATCTGTTTCCTTACCTATAAAGTACATGTCTACGTGAGATAATTATTTTTCTAATTTACTGGGAATAGTACACCTGGGACATAAAGATATTTAACAATTCCTGAAGGATTAAGTGATAGGCATCTCCTAAAGAGTGTCACATGATAAAAGCAAGACACAAAACCAGTGACCTTGGGGAAGGAGATGGAAGGGATATACAAGAGGGAGCAGACATATGTACAACTATGGCTGATTCATTGATGTTTGGCAGAAACCAACACAATACTGTAAAGCAATTATCCTTCAATTAAAAATAAATAAATTTTTAAAAAACTAGTTACCTTTGCATTCTTTTTTTCAATCTAGCATTATCCTTTACCAATATTAAATCCTGTTTGCATGGTACTCAAAATTGTTTATCTGTAATAATCTCAAATCCCATCCTCTCCATTAAAAAAGGGGAAAGAGAGGGGATATATATGTATATTTATGGCTGATTCATGTTGTTGTACAGCAGAAATAGACACATCATTGTAAAGCAATTACCTTCCAATGAAAAATGAATTTTAAAAAATGACTTAAAAAAAGACTAGGACTGAAAAAACAAACAAAATGGAGAGAAAAGTTAAACTACAACTCCTTTTTCTTAATAGTCCATCCTCAATTTAGACCATGTCTTTTTATTCTTATTTTTCACTATTTGTTCGAACTGCTTTTTAAAAAAGTTTCCTGCTCAGGCTTCCTAACTTAGATATTTTTCGTCTTTTCCTTGGCTTCCCTTTTTATCTCTTTAGAAGATAAAGTACATAAAGCATCCAGCATCAAGCCCTAAACAAGTACATTTTCAACAGTTGACTTTTCTTAACATAAAGGGATGAACAAATAAAGGGTTTATTCTCCAGGAAAACAAACAAAACGCCTCACCCTAAATTCTCACATAAGACACATAAATTGTCAGAGCTCTGGAAGGCAACTCTCAGCCACCGACCTTGGCATCTCAGCAGGAGCCGCTGGCTGACAACTTTGAACCGAGTATGAATTTTTAGCACTAGCTCCCTCCCCTCTGATCTGCCCACCAGGTGTAGTGGGCAGAAACAACAGGCTACCTAGAAAGAATAACAAAGGTGAATATTTACAAGCCTAACTGAGTCTTTTAACATGTCTTAGATAAAAAGAATGTTACAATCTAGATTTTTTGTTATGATAATACTTTGACCCCCTGTCAGATCATTTATTTTATTCTTCAAATATCCCCACAGCTTCCTCACTTCTAAATAGTAGCTTATTCCTTTATTTGAAATGTGCTGAAGCCGTTAGTTTAAAAGTCCAGGTCAAATGAAGTTTTCCCTCAAGAAGGAAATATTTCTTCTACAAAAATGCCAAAGCAGTCAAGAAATTTAAATTCTACCACTCTTTTTTTTTTAAAAGGCTCTTCTATATGCCTTACAAGATCTTCCAGGATCAGGGACTGAATCTTCAACGTTGGCAGTGAAAGCATGGAGTCCTAACCCCTGGACCACATGGGAACTCTTAGGCCTCACTGTGTCTTTGAGGTTCCTCTTTTTGTGTGTTCCACCCCCCAGCTGCAGGTCGGTGATAGTTGTGACTGCAGACCTCTTGAGTCACCTCTGTAGGAGGAGACAGGCCAGAGAAGAAGCTGTTTGAGTTGTTAATCTCAGAAATTCTGCCTGGCTGTACAGGGCCTGGAGGGCTGGTATAAGGGGTACTGGGAAGGCTGGCCCACTCTATAAACTTCATCTTGAATTAAATCTAATCAAGGTGTTCAGACAGAAGGTAAAGAAGTCTGCTTTCCCAATAGTGAGTGTGTAACCATTGATTGCAGATGCTTATCACAGGACCACACCATAATGAGAGCTGTCTAATTTCCTTCTGAAAGCCACTTGAGCCGTACTCATTTCACTGACATAGCTGGAAATTTTTACCCACTCACGAGACAGTAAGTGGGACTTCCCCAGCCCCCGGTGGTTAAGACCCAGTACTGCCAATGCAGGTAGCCTGGGTTTGATCACTGGTCTGGGAACTAAGATTCCATGTGCTACAAGGTGCGCCAATATAAATAAAAATTATTTTTTAAAAGAAGACAATAAGCAAGATGCCGCATAGTGTAGACAGAAGAGAATGACAGGCAGGAGGGAGACCCAGCTTCCTAGCCCAGGTTTGACTCCTACACTAAGTATTCAGGGAACTAACCCAATTTATTACTATCAGTTTCCTCATCGTCTTTAGAAGGTGGTTGGACTGTATGACCTCTCGGCTTCCAGTTAGACCGAAGACTGTGATTCTACAACAATATGGTTCCCCTACCTATTCATTTGAAACTTATTTACAGAGAAACTGAGTCCTTGCTATGAGCAAAAGTTTCTTTTAGTCAGTGATGAATAAGATATGGTTATTGTGTTGTTACGGAAGAGGTTTATTTGGAAGAGGGAAGTGGGATGGAACAGACCAGTGTGAGTCAACTTAGAACACGAGAGTCCCCTCATTCCAAACTGGAATATGGGCTCTGTGATGAAGGGCTTATTCTAATGACTCTGGTCAATGTGAAAGACTCCTGAGTTTGTGTGGGAAATTAACACATTGACTGTACACAGTAACTCATTAATCCTTTTTCCAGAGATGGCAATTCATGGCAGTGTAGTTTTTGTTTCGTGTGTGTATGTGTGTATGTGTGTTTGCAAGACCCTTACTCAAGACTAATTTCTAACAATATTTTGAAGCTGTGGCCCTAATTTCTAGCCTATAAGAAATCTGAACAGTAGAGATTTCATGACCCCAAACTTTGGTATAACTCTTTGCTCTGGTGCTTCTTTTTTCTAGCATAAATTCTCCCTCCAGTCATTCCCATATGACATATGATTAAAACATTAATGACTTTAGAAAAATGAGTTTTGACTAGGAGGATGGAAGGCGGAGGCAGAATCATTTCAGGCTTGAAAAAGTCTTTTGACAAAAGTTCAGGATAAGGAAACATTTAACATCTTGTTAGAGATGAGTGGGAAAGAAGATTCAGTTGGGAGCATGAATGTCAGAAAGAAATTATTAGGATAACATGAGTAGTAGAGAACTATGAAAAAGGTTGCCAAGTTGGAGAGTGAGAGGAGAAAAATAGAAATAAAATATGATGAACATGATGGGAGTATAGAGCTGGTTAGACTCTGAGGAAGAGCTTTTAAGATTCCACTTCCTGGCACACAGGGAGTGGAGGATGTGCCATGACAAGACCCGACTCCTGAACATATGACAGCAAATGTATAGGATTCAGCACTAATTTCAGAGGTGGCTGTACACAGTCTGCAAACCAAACATTTAGTTTTCTCATCAGTATAAAAATAACACATTCATACTTAATTTCTGTCCAGTAAGAAGTGATAAGGTTTAAGAAGGCCGAGTTTTAAATTTTTCAAAGGGTGAAAAGAAATGGGCAAAATTATGTTTATCCTGAAGTACAATTTCTTTCCATCCACTCTACAGTGTCATGGCTCCCTGTGGCAACTTCCAACAACAAAGATGTTCTCGGCACTTTCTGTGGTGGCAGAGAGGTGAGTATCATGGTCTGTAGGGCAGAGCAATACATATATCCCTAGTAATCCATTGTACATCAAAAGTCAGGGACTGCTTCAGTGGAATTAGTCTCATTTGGGGGAATGAATGAAATTAAATCAAAGGACACAGTACCTGATAAAGGAACAAAAAAGCTGGTAGGCTTTGCTCAAAGAAAGAAAAGGCCCTAATGAGAGAAGGAATGTATTCTATAGTTTTCTTCCTTCCATACCTCAGCTAGATTCCATTAGTGGAAAGATTTGGATGAGACTCCCATTCAGATATTAACAGAGATCATTATAATTTAAATCTCTGTACTGGTTTATACCAAATTACCCAACCCTCCAACCTAAAACCAATGCATCTCAGTGGTTTGGCGGTGCTATTTATACACAGTAACCAACTCTTGAAATGACAACTCTTAGGAGCAAGTATCCCCAGAATCCAGCATGTGGCTTGCATGATGAGATTCCTTAAAAGTTTGTGGTTGATGATGAACCCAGCATACAGGAGTTCCATATTAAGTCATAATTGGCTTTATGTCAATGGGTGAAATCAGTCACAGAGGAGAGTAAGAATTTTGTGTAATAACAACACAGCAACTGATTGCCTACTTGTAACTCAAAACAATAGACTCTGGGGGAGCATCTTTAAATCCCAGAATAGAGACTTGCTTAGATGTCCTTCTTTGAGAAAATGTCTACAGCAGATCTGATGGAGAATCTCAGGGAGGAACTGACCTGCTTCATCTGCTTGGACTATTTCACCAGCCCAGTTACCACTGAGTGTGGGCACAGCTTTTGTCTGGTGTGTCTCCTGAGAAGCTGGGAGGAACATAACACCCCTTTGTCATGTCCTGAGTGCTGGAGGACCTTGGAGATCCCGCATTTCCAGCCCAATGAGCGTCTGGGGAGGCTGGCTGGCATCGGCAAGCAGCTCAGGTCCCAGGTGCTGCACAGTGAAGGCAACCAGGGCAGCTATGAGAGGATGCTGGCTGCCACCAGGATGTTGTCTGATGAGGAGCTGGGGGGCCACAACTTCTCAACCCAAGGCCCCGGAGTAAACAGAATGAATCTCTCCAGTGAGGCTGAGGAGCATCACAAAGTAAGATGGGAGGCTCGATTTAAATTTCAGAACACACATCAGATTCTATCGCATAAGGTGATGTTAGTCGCTCAGTTACGTCCGACTATTTGCCCACCAGGTTCCTCTGTCCACCAGGACATGGAGACTAGCCCACCAGGTTCCTCTGTCCAGGGGATTCTCCAGGCAAGAATACCGGGGTGGGTCGCCAGGCCCTTCTCCAGGGGATCTTCCTGACCCAGGGATCAAACCCGGATCTCCCACCTTGCAGGCACATTCTTTACCATCTGAGCCACCAGGGGAGCCCCAACTGCCATAATATTTTCTATGGGTGAAAGTCATGGGTGCTAATCTCCAGGCACCAGACCACAAATCTGGGCATGGATTCTTTTTCCCCTTTTGATCTTAAGTCTCGCCATCTTGTTAGTGATCCTCAAGACCCCTTCATGACCTGGCGCTCTGCTCATTTACCACAGTTTGTTTCTATTGCAGGAGAAACTCCAGGAAATACTAGACATTTTGTGTAAAAAGAGAAAGGAAACAGAAGTTATATTAAACCATGAGAAGGAGAGAGTGATATTGTGTAAGGTCAGTATCTGTTTTATTTTTCCATTTTGTATGTGATTCTACAAGGGGGACTAGCGGGATGCTTCATGGAGTATCAGAAGAAAATGACAAAATTTACTATCTCCAGTGCTGCAGTGCGGAGTGTCCTTGCTTTGGGCTGCCTACCTCTGTTTTTCTATCTGAAGACTCAGCTCAATTCTCCCATCCCCTGGCTGACTTATTTTCCCCTTCTTTGTGTACCTATACCACATTGTGGCTACCTATATTTCTGCTCTGATTATAATTATGAAATATATGTTATACATATAGATATATCACATAGAATGGAAATTGATTGAAAAAAATAATATCTCAAATGATTTAGGGGAAGAAGGGCAGATAAAAAAGAAACAAAAAGAAAGGAAAATTGAAGCAAAATACAGTGTGGATTAGTACACCTGAACAAGAGCTTGAGGTTAGCTGCAGATTAGAATTTAAGCAATATAGCAAAGAGCAGAACTCAATGTCTAATTAGATTTTTTAAAAGCATGTTTTTGATGATCTCAGTAACCTCTGACTCCTTACATTGGAGCCTTTGTGATGTTCATTTCTATTCATAGTATGTGATCCATTGTCTACTTTCATTGTCTAAATGTTTGTTGAATGAATGAATGCATGCTTCCCCACCTTAATTTTTTGTCCTAACTTTATTTTGCTTTACTTTTTAAAAATAATAGTACTCATCACCACCTATCATAATTTGTTTATTTTTGTTGCTTCCACTAGAATGACAACCTCCTAGGAGTAGAATTTTTTATTTATTTATTTTTTTTACTACTATAAGCTACAACATACAGCTCCTAAAATATCAAACTATCCACCCAGCTAGCCAACAGAATGTATGTGTTATGTGTCAGGTTTCGAGAATTGTCACAGTGGAACTCTAGGACTTTGTAAGAGTTAAAAATCTATGTAAGTGATTCTGTGACTAACTTTATTATGTGTGTGTGTGTGCATGCCGGTGTGATGGCAGGAAGAAACAAAGACCTGTAAGCAGGTTGTCCTGTCAGAATATGCAAAAATGCACCAGTTCCTGAAGGAGGAGGAGCAGCTGCAGCTGCAGCTGCTAGAAATGGAGGAACGAGAGAACCTGAAGAAACTGCGGGACAATGAGATCAGGCTGACCCAGCAGATGCGAAGCCTGAGCAAAATGATGGAACAAATAGAGTCCACGTGTCAGAACTCGGTTATAGAGTCTTTCGAGGTAAGAACATTGGAGAAACTAATGAAAAAAAAAATCCCCGTATGTCACCTATCATATTTCAAGTTGCACAGAATAAACTTTTATTTATTTACTTGAAAAATTAAGTTCTGGCCCCCTAAGAAAACTTTCTTAAAGAATGACTATTCTCTGTATAGTGTAAATAAAATTTTGAAGAGGAAAAGGAAAGAAAAAAAAGGAATGTCCATCCAAACAAGTCAAATGATGACTCCAAATTTTTTGTGTGCCTGCCTCATTGCAATCTCAGCTTTGCCAAATATTTTATATTTAATGAACATTGTGTACTGGGCACTTTAAATTACATCTTCAAAAAGACCCGATGAGGTTAAATACTATTATGATATTTTACTATAGGTGATTGGTAGTGATAAAATGGGTTAATAGAGGCAATTATTTTGTTTTCTTTTAACTTTTTATTTCATATTGGAGTATAGCCCATTAACAATGTTATGATAGTTTCAGGTGGACAGCAAAGGGACTCAGCCATCCATATACATGTATCCATTCTCCCCAAAACTCACCTTCTATCCAAGCAATAGTGACAATTGTGTTTAGTAACTCAGATAATTTGCCTGTCAAATAGCTAGTAGGTGATAGAACCCAGGTATTTGTGTACTGAGTCCACATTTTTCACCATCTTTCCTCTACTACCTTTCTAGGCTACTATTGCATTCTTTGGGACCTTCTTAAACATAAGCTGTGTTCATTTCCTATTGACAGCTTCCAATCACTTTCCTAGACTAGCTCCCCAGAATTCTGCTATTTAATTTATTGCCTTCCCAATAACCCAGTCCAGGCTTTCCAGGTGGCACTACTGGTAAAAAACCTGTCTGCCAATGCAGAAGACCTAAGAGACCTGGGTTCAATCCCTGGGTCAGGAAGATACCCTGGAAGATGGCGCAGCAGCCCACTCCAGTATTCTTGCCTGGAGAACCCCATGGACAGAGGAGCCTGGTGGGCTACAGTCCATAGGGTCTCAAAGAGTCAGACACGACTGAAGCGAGACTTAGCACGTACAATAACCAAGTCTACCCATACACAGGCTTAGTTTCACCTCTCACAAAGCTACTTCCCTTTGCTTATTTCTACCTCCCGGAGGCATCATTAGATAATAAAGCCAATAGTTTGACTCCTTTCTCAGCCACAGATTCTGTTGACAAAGGATGATATGAGAAAAAGAAAACTTTAGTTATTGTGAGAAATACCTCACGTTCACAAGCAACTCACCCTAGAAGAAGTTCGAGATTTTTTTCTGCCATACGCTCTCCCATTCAAAGTATTCTAGAGCCATGGGAAGGGGACTCTATGAAATCTGCAAAGGACTATATTCAAAATGGACTGTCTCTGCTAGCACTCAGAGTGCAGAAAAACTAACCTTCTTTCTTTTATACCCTTAGGATGTGAGAGGAATACTGGAAAGGTAGGTTTTTCTTCTGTGTTCACTTGTGTAGGGAACAGGGTGGTGGTGCTGATGCAATAGGTTTTCAGAGAGGGGATGAAAGTGTCCATGCTGTTGGGGCAGAGAGGGCTGGATTCTCAAGTTGGAGCAGGTCATGCGGTCTGTGTGAAGGAGACCAAGTGACCGTCTCTGCTCTCCGTAGGAGTGAGCCCCTCTTGCTTCAGTGTCCGGAGGCCATCAGCACAGGACTGACTCTGTGCCACATCACAGGAATGAGGGAGATGCTAAGAAAATTCAGCAGTAAGTCAGCATGATTTGTTGACCCTCTAGGGACTTTCAGATGGGTGCAGGGTGGGCATAGACCATCTCTGCTGGAACGGACAGAAGCACTGAGACTTGATTGATGTTTGGTCTGACTTTGTTTTCTGTCTGAGTCCTGTTCCTTCCTTTGTTTGCATGGGTCTGTTATGTTCATCCCATCGCCTTGCACATGCACACACACAGATCTCCTCAGGGGGTTCTGTGTTGCTCCCTCTGTTCTTGTGAGGATAAAAGCTGATCTAAACTCTTAAATCTCAGTGAGGGAACATTCAAAAACTATCCTTTTAGAATGCTCCAAATATTTACACTGGCTAAGACTTAGAGAGGTGAGTATTAGGTTTCACCTTTTATCTTGTTGACAATCTGACCTTCAGAGAAAGGCCTAATGGATGCTGGACTCAACAGATATTTGAGAAGTGCCTACTATGTGCTATGGTAGGGACTGTGCTATTAGGCTCTGTGGTGCAAAGTGGTAAAGAACCCACCTGCCAATGCATAAGAGAGACATAAGAGGCACAGGTTCGATCCCTGGGTCAGGAAGATACCCTGGAGGAGGGCATGGCAACCCAGTCCAGTATTCTTGTCTAGAGAATCCCATGGATAGAGGAGCCTGGCAGGTTATGGTCCATAGGGTTGCACAGAGTCAGACACAACTGATGCAATTTAGCACACACGAAGCATGCATGCACATATTTACAATAATGAATGAGACACTTGCTTTTGCTTTTGTAGATCTTACAGTGAGATTGAGGAGAGATTGAGGAGTGAGATTGAGGAGATATTAATCAAACAGATAGTGATGATTGGGATTTGATCTACAAAGAAAAGTACAAAATGATATGATGGGGGTGCCTAATCTTGTCTGGATAATCAATGAAAGTTACTCCCAGAAGGCTGAGAGAGGAGGTCTCAGGGGTTCAAAACATGTTTCGTCAAACGGTCATTGGCAGTTGCACTAACTCCTGTATCTGTGCTCAGTCGTGTCTGACTCTTTGTGACCCCATGGACTGTAGTCTGCCAGGCTCCTCTGTCCGTGGGACTCCTCGGGCAAGAATATTAAGGTGGGTTGCCATTGTGTATTCCAGGGGAATCTTCCAGATCCAGGGATCCAACCTGTGACTCTTGTGTCTCCTGCATGAGCAGGCAGATTCTTTACCACTAGCGCCATTTGGGGAGCCCTAACTCATAGGAAGTTATTAATACATTTAAGCTTGAGATAATGAAAATGCTGATTAGGAACTGCTATTCAAACACTTGGCAACTTTGTAATTTTGGCCCAGTTTTCTAACCTTTATGAACCTCAGTTTTTTTTTTCTTTTATAAAAATGGAAATAAGATAATAATATTTGCCATGATTAAATGAGATAATGTACAGAAAATGTCTGGCACCTAAGTAGTTCAGTAACCAATAACTTTTTCTCCCACTCAAACTCAAGAACCATAACCAACCCTGGCTAAAGCAAATACAAATGACAAAAGATATGACCTGTGTGGATAAACGGCTCTTAGTTCTACAAGTGTCTTTTAAACAGAACCACTTCCATTCCATTATCAGAGATCTAGTATCATTCTCCACAAGTTTCATTGGTTTCCTTTTAGAGATCCACACTCTGTGTTTTGTGATACAGTGAAAGAAGGGTCTCAGAGACACTGTTCCAGTCAGGACAAAAATCCCCACCACAGTCACCTAAATTAAGTTTTAAACAATAGGACTAGGGGCTTCCCTCGTGATCCAGTGGTTAAGACTCCATGCTTCTGCTGCAGGGGTTATGGGTTCTGTCCCTGGTAGGGGAATTAAGATCCTGCATGCTGAGTGGCTCAGTCAAAAAAAAAAAAAAGGACTAGATACTAAGACCTTAATTTAAATTGCACATACGTAAGAGAGTTTTCCAGAATGCAAATGGGGATTCATTCCTTTCTCCTTTTGCAGCGGATATAACCCTAGATCCAGCCACAGCCAACGCCTACCTAGTCCTGTCTGAGGATCTGAAAAGTGTGAAACATGGAGGAATCCGACAGCAGTTGCCTGATAACCCTGAAAGATTTGACCAGTCTGCCACAGTGCTGGGCACTCAGGTCTTCACCTGCGGGAGACACTACTGGGAGGTGGAAGTGGGCAACAAGACCGAGTGGGAGGTGGGCATCTGTAAGGACTCAGTGAGCAGGAAGGGGAACCTCCCCAAGCCTCCTGGGGACCTCTTCTCACTTATAGGCTTAAAGATTGGCGATGATTATAGTCTTTGGGTCTCATCACCTTTGAAAGGCCAACACGTCAGAGAGCCAGTGCATAAGGTTGGCATTTTCTTAGACTATGAGTCTGGACATATAGCGTTCTACAACGTGACAGACGAGTCCCTCATCTACAGCTTCCCTCCAGCCTGTTTCCAAGAGGCTCTCAGGCCCATCTTCTCCCCTTGTCTCCCAAACGAAGGGACCAACACAGGCCCTCTTGTCATCTGCTCACTGAATCACCATTGCCCTGCTCACTGATGCCCTCAGTCTTTTCGGAGAGTGAGGTCTAAGACCAACTGATAACTATTAATTAGGATGATTAATGCATCGATGGTATTAACATCAGGTGATCTGAAAGAAAGCACCCCCCTCCCCAACAACCCTCAGGAGTTTCCATTATTTTGAGCCCTCACTGAACAGCCAAATTGGACAATCAACTTCTAACACCAATAGGAAAAAGCTGACTTTATCCTGTGTCTTGAATCAAATTCATTATCTAGACTGCCCCCTATATGTGCTGATCACTGAAAATGTAAAGACAGAACTAGTCCCTAGTAACCTGAATCCCATTATCATAGGCCGGTTTATAAATCTATGTCATTTTTTTCAAGTGCATTTATTTATTTGACTCTAAAAAGCTCCACTATTTGCATGTGTCTGTCTTATGTGTAAAGCTCCATGTGCCAGGGCAAACCTAACTCCTCCAGGGGGCTGGATGCATGGGTTCTCCTTATTCACGACTCGGCCTTCTCTGAAAAAGTGCTTTTCTTCCCATCCTATGGGGCCTGAAGAGTCGGTCCTCAGGAAGAGTTATCTGTTCAGAATGGTACAAAGATATGTGTGAATATCATCGTGGCATTCACATTACCATATTCACAAGATCATGGAGCTTTCTGTTGTTAATATATTCAAAGGTGACAAAGCAAAGTATTTAATCAATACACATATCAAGGCTGTGGGTGCAGAGTGAGTTTTTGAGTTTTGTGTGTTAGTTGCTCAGTCGTGTCTGGCTCTTTGTGACCCCACAGACCCCACAGAGGAGCCCCTCCAAGCTCGTCTGTCCGTGGGATTCCCCAGGCAAAAATACTGGAATGGGTTGCCATTTCCTCCTCCAGGGGATCTTCCTGACCCAGGGATTGAACACAGTCTCCTGCATTGCAGGCTGATTCTTTACCTTTTGAGTAAAGATTTTCCGAGCTTTTGCTATTTTCTAGAAGCAGAAGGTTTTTCATATCTGAAAGACCAAGTCAAGCTTTCTCTTTATCCCAACACGCCAGGGTATAGGAAGGGGGTGCTGACTGAGCAGAGTTTCTTTTGTTTTGTCTCACTCATGCTCCACATTCTTAGTGCTCTCTCCCAGCAGGTTTTTTTTTTCTTTTTTTACTTCTTGCTCCCATTGCAGGATGTCACCTGTCACAGAAGGTACCCCTTCGTCCACTCTTCCCACTCAGATAAGTCAGTGTCAGTATTTTTAGTCTTTGACAAGTCTTTAGTCTATGGATCTAACCCATGAATGACTGCAAATTATTAAGAAAAAGTTTTTCACAGATTTGAATTTCTAAATTAGAGGATAAATGAGGAAAGTGAGAGAATGGGACCTCTTAATCAGCATAGAAAATCATAGAAGGAAGTCAGTAAGTAACTGGGCTTATTTTGGGGTCTCTGTTCACCCTTCTCTTTAATTTAGACCTCTTTGGTCATTCAACCTTATACATCTTAATCCTATGCCCTCAAAGGCAGGGAGCAGATATGAACTAGACTTTGAATCCCAGATACTGTCCTCTTCTGCTCTTTGTGTTCCCTATTTGCATTTTCACCCTGATATCAGGTATACTCAGAGGATTGTGAAAGGTGAACCAATGATCACATCCTTTTTAGATAATCCGTGGCTCTGTTTCTCTTTTTTTTTTTAAAGCTCAGAAATTTAATGTAACTATTAGCATTTTCTCTTGCAAGAAATGGTGGATTTCTCCCTCCCCCAGGAAATGACACCTGTGAACAATTATCTCTTTTATCATTGCTATTAAGATTATTTACATAACTTGTGCTCATTCAGAATTCACCTTTTTAAAATTTTTCTTTCTTTTTTTCTTTTTTTGACTGCACCTTGAGGCCTGTGGAACTTCCCTGACAGGGATGAGGGATCGAACCTGTGCCTCCTGCTGTGGAGGCACAGAGTCTTAACCATTGGGCTGAGAGGGAAGTCTTTCTATTTCTTATTTTATTAAATTTTATTTCTTGGGGTACTCTTTTGCCCCCTTCTGATGCCTATGTCAGAAGCTTTCTCTATCTCCTTTATACTTTAATAAAACTTTATTACACAAAAGCTCTGAGCGATCCAGCCTCGTCTCTGGCCCCGGATTGAATTCGTCTCCTCCGGAGGCAAGAATCCCGCGTCTAATCGTTCAGCAACAACCTTTCATCTTGGGGGCTCGTCCGGGATCCTTCAGGACAAGGTAAGGATGCTTGGAGCTCTAGTTCTTTGTTCTCCTAGCAAACACATTTTCTGCTGTACTTTACTAACTCTTCAGTGTGCGTGTGTGAATGAATGAAACGCCCTCGCGAAGCAAGTGAGGAGCCCTGCTCTGCGGTTCCGCGGCGACCTCATAAGGCTTGTGGCAGAAACCTGTCGGGGGTTTATACCGACCTGCCAATGCCAAGAGGCAACCAATGTCTTCTTCAGGAACCGACCAGAAATGGGCAAAGCGTGTGGACCGAACTCTCCTTTCTCGGTCAACTTTTCGGTCTCTTTGACCATTTCATAACTCCTTGGGAATTAAAAGTACTAACCTAATCTATCGGATCATAGGCTTTCAAGGGACTTGTAATCTATGTTGATACTGTACTGTGGCCTAGGTCTCAAACTTGGATTGGTAGTATGTGTTGCCCTTTTTCTCTCTGCGAAATATGCCAGACTTATGTCCTAAGGGTGTAGATTTGGGTGTAAAACCTTCCGCTCCCCCCTGTCCTCCTACTTTGCCCCCGTATCCGGGGCTCCAAGCTGAGGTTCAAACTGCTTTGGTCTCAGTGGAAACCCAAACTGAGATTCGAACTGCTCACGTAGAGGTCCAAACAACTCCTGTCTCAGTACGACTTCAGACTATTCTGATTTCAGTAGACTTTTCATTTTGATTTTAACTTGGTTTAACGACTATTTTGCCTTACACCTATCACTGTATAATGGGGTTTTCTAACCGTCTAAAAGCTTTTACTTTACCAATAGTTGTCTGAGCTCCTATGAATGCCACAGCCTCCTCCAACTATTACTTGGAGCCCCTGGATCAGACATCCTCACTATGAGGATTAGGAGAATATGTTGCCTCACCAATTTAGGGACAACGCCCCTTGTCAGCTCGGAAGCAGTTATGGAATGAGAACGACGCCCCTTTTCCCTAGGCAACATAATTCTCCTAAAAGAAAAGGGGGGAATGAGAGTCATTTCCTACGCAGGTTGATAAGAAGTCTAGGGGTCCCCAAGGAGAGAGAGGTCTGGGATATTCAAGGAGGAAGAAAGGACAAACTTTTTAACTTTTTTTTCCTCTACATTCCTTAGGATTATATAACAATAATGTATCCTGCCTGAGGACAGTCTTTGGATTAAACCCTCTGGCTAATCCTGTTATCTTAAAATGTAAATTATGGGAGTAGGTCCGGTCTTTACAAAGGATGTATCCTGCCTGAGGACAATCTTTGGATTAAACCTTCTGGCCAACTCTGTTATCTTAAAGTGTAAATCACGGGAGTGGGTCTGGTGAGGTCTTTGCAGCCTCCAGACATTCTTTAGATTCATTGGAGAGTATATAACTCCATTGCTAATACTAGCAAGGGGGTACTCTTTTGCCCCCTTCTGATGCCTATGTCAGAAGCTTTCTCTATCTCCTTTATACTTTAATAAAACTTTATTACACACACACACAAAAAAAATTTTATTTCTTGATTTATTCTCTCAAAAAGCTAAAAAGCAAATTATAAACAGCAGACACCAAGCATATTTTGGAGTATGTCATCTTCAATTAGAAAAAATTGAATTTTTAAATATTTGGATAAATGAATGTAAAAGTAATACATTTTAATTTAGTGCACATTACACTTAATTGTAGTATAATCTTGGCAACAGCCCTTTTATTTATTTTTCCTCTATGTCCCAGAGGGGTTGATATTGCCAAGGAAATGAGCCTCCTTTTTTTTTCTCCTCTGGGAAAGTTATCCTGAGTAGATCTTGGCTGCATCACTATCTACACTGGGACTGTCACTGATTGAGTGTGTTTGCAGGAGACGGATGGGGGAGATTAAATCTATATTTTTCTTATCCTTCTGGGTTTGTGTAAATAACAATATAAAAGTTGCAAGAAAATTTTCACCCAACGTTTCTAGATACAAATTCCAAGCCAAGCAGATGTGGTAGGAAGGATGGGAGCAAGACTGGCCAGCATGAAAAATGAAAAGATATGCTTCCTTGCTTGGCGAAGGCACCCCCTTGCACTGTTCAAGGACCTGGGTCTCCCTGTCTCAGGCAAAACATGTGATAAAGGCATTTCCTTCAACATAAAGGGAGTCCCACAAAGAACCTGCTCCCATCACTCAAGCTGCCTTTTATCCATCCATTAACTTGCTCTCTCTTCCACCTCTTCCTGAATGGACAATTTCCCCAGGAGACAGCAAGGCACTGGTAGCCTCTCACAGTGAACATCACCAGACAGAATCCACAATCATAGCCATTTCCTTCCCTACATCCCTACAGGGGTTTCCCTGGTGACTCGGTAAAAAGAATCTGCTTGCAATGCAGGAGACCCAGGTTCAATCCCTGGGTCTGGCAGATCCCCTGGAGAAGGGAATGGGAACCCGCTCCAGTAGTCTTGCCTGGAAAATCTCATGGACAGAGAGCTATAGTCCATGGGGTCACAAGAGTCGGATATGACTTGGTGAATAAACCACCACATATCCCCACAGCTGGCTGGAGGAGAGGGGACAGTCTATCCTAAGGTTGGAGGACATCACCCAAGATTCCACTCAGGACTGCAGTTTGATAACCTTTAAAACATTTTTTTTTTTGTTTGCCTTAGAGTAACTAAAAAATAAAATATTGTATAATATTTCTCATGTCCTGAAATTTTCATTGAAGTTTCAATGAAGTTTCATAAAACTTCATTATTCAAGTAAGGTTTTTATCTATTTTCCAACTTTAATTATCCCTTCCCTTACAACATAAATGTAACTTTGATCTATTTTTCTTTGTGTGTATTGGTACCTTATTTTATTTTGAATACAAGGTTCTCCTACACTAATTTAACTCAATGATGTGTCAGTCAACCTTTTCCTAGTCTTAGATTTCTCTCTGTGCATATACCTTGGAGAGGAGGGAACAAAATAATAATAGGTCACAATAGGAAAATAATAGTGTGCAAATATAAAATGCACAAATGTGCACAAATGTGCAAAAAATAAAAGATTAATCTCACTACACAGAGATAACCAATGTTAAGTTTTGGTACGTGTCTTTCTAATTTTTTTCTATGTGTATATATACATATATTTCAAGCAAAATGAAAATTAATTATCCTAAACTATATTGTGAACTGCCTTCTCATCATATTTCTTAAAAATACAGCTTTTTATCTTTAAATATATAAGTATGTATCTTCTAAGAATTAGTACATTTGTTAAACTTCATTTATATAAAAATGTACATTCAGCAAGTATTATTTGATGATATTTAATAAACAGTCCATATTAAAAATTCCCCAATTAGTCTTATAATGTTCCTTACGACTCTTTTTTTTTGTCCTTCAGCATCCAGAAATAACATAGGATCATGTATTAAAAGTAATTGTTTTGGAAAACATAGTTCTTAATGGGAGTGATATTTTATCATTGAGTCTCCCTAATTTGTTTAATCATTTCCCTCCTGTGGGACATTTAGATTGTTCTCCATTTGTAGCTATTATGACCGGCACTTTGATGAACGCACATATTCCTCAACCTTTGGGTACATTTCTAATTATTCCCCGGGAATCTCTCTGCAGGCGGGAAAGCGGCTGCGGACCCGGTGGGCATGTGTTTGAAGGCTGTAACATCCCTCTACAAAATTTAATGTGCATAGCAGGGAGTCCAGAATGTCTTGCTCACTGACATTTCTGAAGATGCAGACACACAGCTTTAAGACAAGTGAAAGGACGTGGTTTTCTGTGCCCTATGGTCTTGCCAGAAGCACTGTATTTATGCCCCCAGAAAAATCTATCCTGGGAGGGATTGGGGAGCAGCAGTTGGGCTCTGAAGCCAGATAGTCCTTGGTTGGAGCTCCTAACTTCAAAGTCATGCTTCAACTTCCCCAAGTTATTTAACTCTCAGAGCCTGGCTGTGCTGTGCTGAGCCCCTCGTGTCTGACACTTTGTGACCCCGTGGGCTGTAGCCCGCCAGGCTCCTCTTGTCCATGGGATTCTCCAGGCAAGAATGCTGGAGTGGGTTGCTAGGCCCTCCTCCAGGGGATCTTCCCAACCGAGGGATCGAACCCAGGTCTCCCGCATTGTAGGTGATTCTTTACCAGCTGAGTCACCACGGAAGCCCAACACGACACTTACTGAGCGCACCTGAACACGCTCAGATGTGCCCACGTGTGCTCGGAATTCCTGGCCTTAGAGCTGCGGGAAGCCACGCTCCCAGAACGGCGGAGCCGCGGGGTGGGCGGAGCGGAGGCCGGGGCCCCGCGTGGCCGGCGGAGGCGCGGGTGTCCCGGCGGCGCGTGGGCCCCAGGGGCCGGGGGCGCTCACTACGCGGGAACTGCGGCTGCGACTCCCGTAGGCCCGTGAGCGGCCTCCCCGACGGCATCACCTCCAACGCCCGGAGCGCGTCGCCAGGCACCACCGGTTAAGGTAGGCGGCGAGGCGAGGAGCCCGCGACGCCGGCCGGGGCTGGGGTCCTGCGCCCCTGCCGAGCCTTTCCACCTCCCGGGCGGGTCTCCATCCCGGAGGCCGGGCGCCCCCTCGCCCCCTGCTGGGGACGAGCTCCTCCCCGGACCCCTTGTGCCTCGCCGGTTGGGGCGCCGTCTGGGCTTTGGGGTCGCGGCCACCCTAGGCCCTTTGTCTCCCTCGTCCCACCTCGGGAAACCTCATTTCTAACTCAGGCCAGGTTTCCTTATCTGGCGGGAAATTAATCTACTTTTTCGGTTTCGGTGAATTAGTGAGCCAATAATTCATGTAAATAACGTGGCATACCATCTAAAACCGAAGTCTGTCCAATACGTGGTAGCTGATGTGTGTCCAGGTGTTTTGAGGACCCTAAAAGCCCAGACTTGGCCCGCCTGAAATGAATTTTACTCCTTCAACAAATGTTGAGCGTCTACACATCATATTGTGCTTGGCGTTGAGGACGTAATGGTGAAAGCAGCCCTGGTCTTTGTATGCTTGTTACGCCTTCTACTGAAAACACAAGAAATAAATTCATTTTCTGTCAGAGGAAAGACAGGGTTAGACGCTTGTTTGTGAGCCATGCTCCAAGCAAGGAACGCCATTTCGAGTGCTACTTGAGGCCTGATAACAACCTCCTTTGGTATGGCTTGCCTTTGCCTGTGTAACAACACGGGCATTATGCATACCAAGGAAAGGATGATAAAAATGAAATTTGTTGAAGCTGATGAAATGTTTGTACTTTTGCATTGTTGGTGCAGTGGTGAACTCTTGGGCTCTTCCTTGCTACTCTTTGCAAGAGTTTATCTGCTGCTATGTCAGAAGGGAGAAGAATGCTGTGACTCAGGTGGTGAACACTACCAGTTAATGTGGCTTAAAATGCTGGATAGCACATGCTTCCTAAGTTGATTCAGAGTGAAGATAGATGCAGTGGAGTTTGGTTATGAATGTCTGTTTATGGCCCAAATTTGGCCGCCCCTCTAGCACTCAACATCATTCTTAGGTGTCTGTATAGCTGATATGTGTATAGCTAATAAAGAGCAAGCTCCACCCTCTGATAAACAATCCCAACAGGCAAGGAATTACTTTTGACCTCATCACTAGTATTTAAATTGGTTTCTGCTGTCATCAGTGGGACAATTCCTTCGAGAAAAGAATTGTGTTGAAATAGAATGATAATGGTAATAATGATGAAAGCAAATGCTTATAGCAGTTATTCTTTGTATGGGATTATCCTCAGTCCTTGAACACATTTACTCATTCTCACAACAGTCCAGAGATAGAGTTACCATTGTTATGACCAGTTTCCAGGTGGGAAAATGAAGTGCAGAGAGGTTGCTTGACTTTGACCAGCAAGGAGTAGAAATAGAATTTGAACCCAAGTGGTCTAGCTCCAGCTCTATGATTTTTAACCGCTATCATAGTTGGAGAATAAAATGTATCCTTCACATACTAAATGTACAGCAGGGTTCTTCTGAACTCTTCAGGAGTTGAACAGATAATTTGATCTTCTTTCTTACTAGTTCCTTAATGAAGAGGCAAAGAATAAGTCTTTAAAAGGAGTGTGCTGTGGAGAACTCATTATCGATGCAGTTGTGTCTGCTAGAAATCACATTCTATTTTACGTGCCTCTTCTTAGTTGTACCACCTTTATCTTCCATTTATGGACAGTATCTTGGCTGTCTGGGTTCAGGTCCTTTCCCTTTTCCTGGAAGCGTGGTCCTCTCAGGACTGTACCCTAGCTTTCCACCCTGATGACTGATTATTACACCTTCGTGCTTAGGTAATTAAGCCATTGCTTTGAAGCTTTTTTTGGGCATTGATGAAACAGGCAGAGAGAACACCTGTGACTTGAAGGATTTTCTTTGGTATGTGTTTTCTCTCTACTAAGATTATATTCTGCTGGATAATGTATCCCAGATGGAAAATATTTTCTCACATTTATTAAGCATCTGTTGTAGGCGAAGTATTGTGTATAATGTTTATGCTACTGTGAAAAGGTTAAAGAGGTTGCCCAATGCCACACGTTTGTCAAGTGGAAGAGCCCAGGTACAATATCCACCTAGGTGTACTGACTTCAGAGCCTGTTTTTTTAAACCACTGGGCTTTATTTTTCCTCAGTAGAAGTTAAGTGAAGAATCCAGTTTGTTTGATAAAACATTTGCATCTGAGGGAGGTTGTGGCACATAATGGGAAAAGAACAGTGAATTCCTTGCCTTTATTGATCTATTTTTTAAAATTAATTAATTAGGCTGTGCCGGGTCCTAGTTGTGGCACACGGGATCGTTGATCCTTGTTGAGGCATACAGGATCTTTAGTTGTGGCATTCAAACTCTTAGTTGGCAGCAGGTGGAGTCTAGTTCCCCAATCAGGGATGAAACCTGGGCCCCCTCTGTTGGAAGTGCAGAGTCGTGGCCACTGGATCACCAAGCAAGTCCCTTCCTTGGGTTTTAGAGACAGAAAATCAGTTCTTTGGACAGATTCAGGCTGCATGAAGGGTTTTTACAGTGATTGTCATATATATAAAATAATGGAAGTGTGAAATGACATCACTTTATATCTAGTAAAGACTGGAGATCAAGAAGAACATAGGACAAGTATTGAGCGTTGGAAGAAATCCTCAGTTTAGCTTAAAGCAGCAGCAGATCAGAAGGGTAGAAGAATATCAAATAAAAGTCTGTTGGAAAAAGTATTTGAATTAAGAGAGGTCATTGACGTACTGGGAACTATTGTACTATTTTAAGGTACCAAATTCATTCATAAAGAATTTCTAAGAGAAAAATCACAGGTGGGAAGGAATAAGATGCTACGTTACACTCAATTTTTTTCTTTTCCTTCTCATGTTTCAGTTTCCTTCTTCTCTTTCTTCATTCTGCATTTAGTCGACCAAGTAAGTGGAAAAACATTTACTTTTTGGGGGCACAAAATTTAAGATCTTAAAATGATAGCAAAATGTCATCATAAAACAGAGGATATCATATGATAAAACCATGTTCTTGGTTGTTAAGTGACCAGTTGTTAAGTGACCAGTATTTCAAACCAAATATTAATACTCTGGGTTCTCAAACAACCAATAGCTTTCTCACTATGAAGATTTGCTGATTATCTCATTGTTTTTGGTTGTTAAGTAGCTAGAGGGTACCATTGATATTTCTAATCAAGTATCAGTACTCTGGATCCTCAGATAACCAGTAGTTTTCTCAGTATAGTTGAGGATTTGCCGATTGGCTCATCTAGAGGTCTATCAGTATGTTCCTGACAGTCTGGTTTGATTGGAGAGAGTTTCAGTGTCTTGGTTAGCATGTTTAGGATATTAATAAAAAACTACTGACTGGATCAAGGCTAGACTGATTAGAAATTCAAGAATCATAAAGAATCAATAAAAAGAATTCCCAGAGTTTATAAGTGTATATTTTGTATATGTTTATCCCCTTAGTACCCTTTAGAAAGATCTTTTTAAGAAGAGACTCAAGATTCTTTTTGTCTTTTTCTTCTATTGAAATCTACATAGTGACAGCCTTGAGGGCTGCTCCTTCTGTACATTATCTGAGAGAAACAAACCCTGTTTGAGAAAGTTGGTAGTTAAGAAACTTATTATTAAATGACTAGAAACAAAGGGAAGGAAAACAGTTTAGTCGATTTGGGCCAATGCTGACCAGCTAATTGTTTTGCATGCTAATTAAGATTCAATAAGGGAAAAAACCAGTGAGCTGAAATGGCATCTTAAATAAAGAAACCCACTCTAATATTTATATACACATTTTAAATAGAAACAGTGAAACCAACATGCTAATTTCAAATTGGTGACCTCATGGGTTTAGGTTGTTGTGTAGCCGTTAAGTGTTGTGACAGATAGGCCCAAGATACTGTAGATGAAATAGTGGAGAAGGTTTCCTTTTTCTTTATGTAATAGCGCTTGCTGATTAAGTGGTCTCTGCTCCACAGAGTCACGCACACTTGTGGCTAGCAAAGTGTCTTTGGCCCCACTGGGACATGGTTTTCCAACTCAGTTTCAGGCTAGTCGGAACAAGGTGGGTAAGGAAAAGCTGAAGTCCAGAGTGGGAGATGTGACCTTAATCACATGATACAGCAGCATCACGTGTCTCTTCATCTCAGGTTCCTCTAGGCATCTGCTCACACCTATCTGCACAGAGTATTGGGAATTATGTGTAGCCAAGTGCTCAGAAAGAACACACTTGGCCTCAACCAGCAGTTTCTCCAGTAGCTGTACTAAAACCTAGCATTATGTTTCCTGGATGATAGGAAAACTTTGAAAATCATGCAGGTTTTCAATTCCTTTTCACCCTTACACTAATAAATATGTTTTGGAAGTCAAGATTTTTGGTTTATAGAAAAGTAATAAATTATATGTATCCTGTGTTGTGTAACATCCTAGTGGGATTGGAGGCAGCACCTTTTAAGCAGTTCAATTAATATTTGACTGGAGTATTATTAATGCAGTAGTGAAATGTAGGGTTACTCATTCTAAGTGAGATAAATAAAGGCTAAAAATAAAAATATTCTCCTGGCACTGCAGGGTAGGTCTGCCTCCAAATAACTTTTGCACCAAACTGAGGAAAGCAGTTTTACCATTGGAATTTGATAATGTGCATAAGGAATTATGGAATTAACACTATAACTGTGTAATTTAAGCATGAATAAGTAATTAAAAGCAAAATTTAAAAAGCAATTATAGTGATATAAGGTGAAAGAATTCTTAACTTATGTATTTTTTCATGTTCTTTGTTTTTTATTTTATAGAAACTTTTTATTGGAGTATAGTTGATTTACAATGTTGTGTTAGTTTCTGCAAAGTGAATCAGCCACACATATACATATATCCACTCTCTTCTAGACTCCATCCCCATATTGGTATTTACAGAGCACCAAATAGAGTTCCCTGTGCTATACAGTAGGCTATATTAGTTATCTTTTATGTATAGTAGTGTGTATATGTCAATCCAAG